AAGTTAGAATATATGATCTAAAAATCTCAAGTATGCATGTATAAAGCCATGCAACAATATAAACATATAAAGAATTTTCACTTGAATGTCATGTGTGTTACACGTTAACATGCATAGTTGGTGATTATTAGGTGTATTAACATAACACAAGCACATGTAACTGTTAAGCATATCATGCAGAGATTGAAGAAGGGATAAATATGGGTTCACCCCTGATGAAAATAGGATAAATGCAGGTTCCTCTTGTCATCCTGAATGAAAACAGAATCTCGCAAAAACCCCTCTCTTGTTTCCATAAATACAGAAACAGGATCCGGCAAATGCAAAAATAAGCGAGATAAAATAAAGAAACAGAATGAGACGCGGACAAGATTTATTTTGTCCGTTCATTGTTTTTTTAGGAACCGTTTTCATCCCTGCGTGCGCTTTTTCTATCTCAGCAAAAGGTACAACGTTCAGCATGAAATGGCCCATCCTATATCAGGGTCCACGCTGGGAGGTTCAGCCTCACCAGAATAGGCCCACGTTCCTTTGAACAAAGGAAGTGAGGAGTAAAAAAAAAGAGGAAAAAGTCCACTTTGCCTCCACAACTATCGCGAAAGTCAGCTTTTCCTCCCTCAAATCTAAACCAGACATATTTCCTCTCTCATCTCTCAAAACTGGTCACTTTACCTCCATGGTTGTTTCCGTTGGTGGTTTTTCTTTTTTTTCTTTTATGTTTATTTTGGCTGAATCTTTGAAAAATCATAAAATGATAAATCAAATTGTGTTGGACTCCATATGAGTAGTTCTACAAAGTGAACATATGATATGGTATGGTTTAGTATAAAGTTTTTGTTATAACTTTATATGTATGTTTTCTATAATTAATTCATAGTTGCTATTTCTCTGATCCAATTGTGGTGAAATTATTATGGTGGGCTAACGATTGCATGCTTGAGCTATAGTAAAAATTTTATGCTCATTGAATAAAGTATGATTGAGTTATAGATTTATCTAGGTTTATGTTTGTTAAATAGTTTTTAAATGAAATTAAATCTATAACTCATTCATACATGATCCAATGAGCATGAAATATTTGTTAGACTCCACATGAGTAGACCTACATAATAAACATATGATTTGGTATGTTTTAGTATAAAGTTTTTATTGTAGCTTTAGATCTATGTTTTTTTGTAATTAATTCATAGCTACAGTTTCTGTGGTGTGGTCCAATTATGGTGAAATTTTTATGGTGGACTAATCATTGAATTCTTGAGATGTAGCAAACATTTTATGCTCATTGGATCATGCATGACTAAGTTATAGTTTTATCTATATAAACCTAGATAAATTAACATATAAATCTACAACTCAGTCATATATGATCCAATGAGCATGAAGTTTCTTCTGCATCTCAAGCATGCAATGATAAATCCACCATAATTGGACAAGATAACTGCAGCTATGAATTCATTATATAAAAATATAGATCTAAAGTTACAGCAAAAACTTTATACTAAAGCATATCATATCATATGTTCACCGTGTAGAACTACTCATGTAGAGTCCAACACAATTGGATTTTCCATTTTATGATTTTTCTATGATTTACTATGAGTTTTCAAAAATTCAGCCAAAATAAACATAAAAGAAAAAAAATATATAAACCACCAATGGAAACTACCATGAAGGTAAAGTGACCGGTTTAGAGAGATGAGTGAGGAACTATGTCTGGTTTTAGAGTTGAGGGAGGAAAAACTAACTTTCGTGATAGTTGAGGGAGGTAAAATGAACATTTTTAAAAAAAAAATCATATGCACTGTTGATACACACCACCTTCAGTGCAGCACCGCTGTCCGCTGGGCTGCCGTCGATGTGTCTGTGGGCTGTGCTGCGCTGCGGTGAAACACCGGACTGGTTTGATGTTTATGGTCTTGCGTTCCGCCGAAGGACAGTAGAGGCCTGTTTCTCACAAGTGCCGAAGTGTGTCACCTATTCGCGAAATTCTGGACCGAATTTTTTTATTTTTTAGTTCTTTTTTTTTGAAAGATATTCACATTTAGATCCTTGGAGGTTTCTTTTCATTCTCTGGACCCTGACCTCGGTGCCGTAGCAATTGGCGCCGAGGCTACACGTCTCGATGTCATAGTTATTGGCGCTGAGGTCTAAGGTTATTTTTGTGTTGCGTTGACGTCGCTGCTTGCGTGGCGTGGACGTGGCACCGGCTCGGCGCCGAGGGTGTTGGCGCCACTTCGCTCGGCACCAACTCGACTTCCAGCACCAACCTTAGCAACTGCATGCAGGATATGGCAGGATGATAGACATACCTGTGGGCCTATTTGTTCAAAGCTAGAAGAGAGAGAGAGAGAGAGAGAGAGAGAGCACGGCTGCCTAGCTAGTCCAGCTGCATGGGCTCGCCTCAAGAGTGAAAGAGGATAGGAGTCCTGTGCTTGCAGAAGCCTCTCGTGCACGTATATCGATGAGAGCTTAGTGTTTGCACGGTGGACCGCACAGGCACGACATCACCTGCCCTGCCCCGGCTGTGAGCATGAGCAGAGTTGAGCAGCTTGATTAAAGTTTCTAATGAATATACGGCCATGGTATCTGTTAAGTTAAATAGTTTATCAGCCTGTTCGATTGTTTGTTTCAGCCAGCTCAAACCAGCCAGCCAACAGTATTTTTCTCTCACAAAAAACCAGCACCAGCCAGCCCAAACCAGCACAAACCCCAACCAACGAACAGGCCCTATATTTAACTAAGTTTCTAGTAGATCGTATTTAAATTTATGACTTAGAATCAATTTATTATGAAAATATATTTTATAATAAATCTAATGATATTTATTCCAATACACCATGGACAACTAGACCAAATCGAATAGAACATACCAAGACATAAATCAAGGAGTGCTACGTGCACGAGCAAACGACGACGGCCACCTAGACGTGGATATAGTGCAGCATGCAGAAAAATCAAGCTTGAGCCACCGTTGGGTGGCCGTGCGCGAAAAGCTGCTGGGACAACTTGCTCCGACTAGCTGGGAAGACGGGCGTGGGCCCAGCTGCCAGTTACAGAGAAGGAGCCATCGGGGGTCGCATGCAACCGCGTCCGCTGCTGCCGGTTGCAGAGAAGGAGCCGTGGGGGGAATCTTTTATTCTTTTTTGACCTTTCATTCTTTTTAACTAGGAGGAAAAATCTGTTTTACCAAATGTTTTTAAAAATATTGTGGTTACATATAATATATATGACTTATATTTATGGGCTTAAAAAATACTGTAACGATGTTCATCTTATTTATGCTTGATCCATTTTCTATCAGATGGAAAGAAAATACTATATAAAATGGTACTCATGGTTGATTTTGGCTAAATACATAACATCAAACAGCTTGCAGATAGTCCATGGTACGACCTATGTTTTTAACTGTCTATGTTAAGATTAAAAAAAATGCAGATACGAGGGATATATGTTTTCTTGTTTTATTTATACCACTGAGTAGTCTACGTCTAATATTGTTTTCTATTCTTTTTTCTCCCTTCAAATGAGGGGACTCTGATGTCTCAGATTTTGATAAAAAAGTAATTGATCTGAAGTTATATGAACATGGCCCACGGAGTTCAATCGCAGCATGAATTAAAATACGACTCCAATCTTTTCATGTTTGTATACGTTAGAGCAAGATTTAAGGACGAATTGAAACACATGTCACTTTAGTTAAATATATAATTTTTGAGCCAAAAGTCGTGTAAGTGACCATCCAATAAACTATGTGTTCCATTACAACATACGGGTATTTTTTATAATAAAATACTAAAACATGACACTATACTAGAATTATATTCTTTCTAAGATGGAGTGAGTATTTAAGTTAAATCATTTGATAGATCATTAAACCTACTTTTACGAGAAACTTATTTGGACATATAAATGTTATTAATATTTTTCTTTAAACCTACTCAAATCCCTTTTTCCGAGTTTTGTTTTCATATATTTTTTTATATAAATTTGATTTAACTTAACAAACTTTAATATAACACTGCTCTAAATTATGCATGTGCATGGTTGTTGGTAGAAACTACGGAGTAGTAGAAAGATTGAAGGAAGCCGTAGAAAGGTTGAAGCATGACATGCATACTCATGCATACTAAAGACCACTGTGCACAATAGGAAGGGTGAAAAAGCTATCCTTGGTATAGGTGTACGAGAGGAAATTTCCACACGCTTGCAGTGGATGAATGCATGTTTGTTTTTTTATGCTCGTGCTAGGACTCCTCTGCCCTCTCTCTCTCTAGTTGCCAGACTACTGCACCTGCAAATCAGGTTGGCGTCAGTCGAAGTGGCGCCGAGCTTGGCGCCAAGATCCATGGTGCCAAGCCAGCGTCACGTTCACGCCACGCAAGCAGCAACGCCATGCAGAAAATAAGCTTGAACCTCGGCGCCAATGACTATAGCGTCGAGACATATAAGCTCAGCACCAATTGCTACGGCGCCGAGCTCGGGGCCTATTTTTTTTAAAGATACCGCATTTGTGAAAATATTTTTTAAAAAAAGGGCAAAGAAAAAATAATTCGGAGTTCTGGATGCCCAATCCTCCCAAATCGGCCAAATCCGAACCCTAGCGGGGCAAGCGAGCAGAAGAGCAGGAGAGAGGGCGCGGCACGGGCGCGGGCGCGGGCTTTAGGCTGAGCTGGGGCGCGGCGCGGGCAGAGCCCTCGGCGTCCAGCCGTCCAGGGCTCCAGGCGACCGGCTGCCAGACGGTCAGGGCGCAGGGCGGCCAGCCAGAGCGGAGGCGGGCGACGGCCTGACCCAGCCGACCAGAGGCCAGTGCGGGAGCGACCAGGGACATGGGCTGTCTGCGAGACCAGTGCTGCCGCCGACAGTGAGGTGAGGCCGGCACCAGCCTTCCAGCGACGTCTCCGTCTCCCTCTCGTCTGTTTGCACCCATCATAATTGATCCTCGTGTCTTTTTGATCTGTATCTTGTCTCGCAGCGCCAAGGCGCGGTTGCTGTTCGGCAAAATGCCTCGAGGGAAAACGGTCAAGGGAGCGGTGCAGCAGCCCGCTGGTGGCAGCGGGGGCATTGAATCACTGCCTGATGGAATCCTTGAACACATCCTTGGCTTCTTGCCGTCTGCGGAGGCCGTCCGCACTAGCGTGCTCGCCCGCAGAGGTGGCGCCTGTGTGTGGGGTGCTGCGACCCAGATCAACAGGTGTCTGTGGAGGATCTCCGGAGCTTGGTGAACCATCTGCTGATCCTCCGCAGAGGCTCGCCCCTTGAGAAATGTTATTTCACCTTCGATGCTGAGCTCATCAGCGATGATGATGTGTCCCACGTAAACCTCTGGTTTCGGCATGTTGTGACATGCAAAGTTCATGTTCTCAGCCTCTTTATATTTGGACGTAGTTCTGGTGAGCCCAGGCTTGAACTAGACAACCTGCCTCTCATATCCCAGCACCTGAGGAGGCTGGAGCTCACTACTGTACAGGTCCACAACAGTTTGCTTAACTTTTCAAACTGTCCAGCCTTGGATCATCTAAAGATTGTGGATTGTAAGTTGTCATCGGTCAACAAGATTGTGTTCGAGTCCCTGAAACATCTTTGTATCGATTTGTCCGTAGGCAGCTGTGATTCTCGCATCTGCATTTACACCCCAAATGTTGCCTCACTGCGCCTTGAGCGTTTTGAGGGGAGGACTCCAATTCTTGAGGGGATGCCCTCACTACTGGAGGCATCTGTCAAAATAACACACTCTTGTAGGGACTACTGCACTAATGCAAATTTTTTTGGGACTTGTGATTGTGGATCTTGTGATAGTTCTGATAGCGCAGCCAATGGCAGTATCAACTGCGTGCTTCTAAGATGTTTATCGGAGGCTAATAGCTTGGCGTTAAAATCTGATTATGGCATGGTATAGTTTTACATTAAAGTTTCATCTTTTACCCTTTTTTGTATTAAGTCCCGTCAAGTTGAAATTTGACATATGTTGCTTCTTTTTTGCATGCACTGCCACCAACTATGGTTATGAATCAAATATGTTCACAGTGTTGATTATTTGATCACTTTTGTTTGCACTTTGTGCAGTTTATTTTTAAAAGAGATTTGAGATGGTGCCCTGTGTTTACAAATCTAAAGACCTTGTTGTTGAATGGCTACTGGTATGTGCCTGATGACTTCCGTGAACTAGCGTGTATTCTTGAACACTCACCTGTTCTAGAGAAGCTCACTTTTGAACTTCACGAGGTATGCAATTTACAAATGCTCAACTGCTGCATTGTATACTTATTAGTTGACAGTTGATCATTTTTTTTGTGGCGCTGGGGGATTGTCTGCAGTGGTTTGGATATAAAGAGTAAATCAAACTACGTGTCAGTTCAATGAAGCGATCAACTGCAATTTCAGAGCACCTTAAGAAAGTCGAGATCAACTGTCAAAAGGTTGACAATACAGTTCTCAAGGTTTTGAAGTTCCTGTGTGCATTTAACATATGTAAGATAACTTGCAATGCTCCTCATTCATTTATATTCCTTACATTTACCGTAATGTCCATTTATATGAAAGAAAGTATGCAGCCTAGTAAGTTAGTTAGGAAATCATGAATGGTTGGACCTAAGGTGCCAATCTATAGATGAATTTCAACTTTCTGCCATGAATTCTTTTTTTATTTATTCTACTTTTTCCCTTGCTCTGGCTGCCATATGTGAAATTGTGTTGTTACCAGTTCAAAAAGGCTGTAGTTCCGTATGATCAATCAAATGTTTATTTTTTATTTCTGTGCGTCATTTCTTTTTTGTGGGATATGAAGTATCCAAGAATATTGTGAGATATAAACTGCCAATACTGTCATATCCAATTTATTTTTTGTTTTGTTTATTTGTTTAATTGTTGGCTTCAAAGTCTACTTTATCTGCTAGGTTTTGTATTATTAATCCATTGTATTCTCGTAATGAACTGGATCGGTTGTTTTTGCTACTAGGGTTTGTGGTGGAAATGATCAGGTGAACACTGTTAGAAAATGATCTGATAATCATGAGAGCTAGCACTAACTTCATTTTAATAGAACATTTACCCAACTTTGGCATAACTGCATTGTTCTGAAGTTTAATCAAACCAAAATATGTCGTCAACCCGCAACCGTGCCCATGGCTAGATAATTTCTAATTTCTTACTCTATTCCCCTTGGATCTTATTCCTATTTTCACATTGATCAGGTTTCAGTTTAGATGAAATGGTTGGAGTAGAAATTGGAGCCACAAGGATGCTATATTCTATTCTTCTGTCTAATGTGGTTCGTGAAGGGTGAAGATAGAATCTCTAGTCACCTGCTTAAGACCAACTACCTGTAATTTAAGTGCTGGCTTATATTGTCAATCTCGCTTTTGTTCATCTAATGCTATTTTGCAGCTTCCATGTCTTATAAGCTGTAAAAAAGAAGATTGTCCAATTCCTGTTAGGCCTTGATAATCTATGTCTAATTTAATTCAACTTCATGTACATGATTTCAAAGGGGACTAGGCGTTCTCGAAGGTGAGCTGTGTACGCCTAGGTGATGCCTTTGAAACATAGTTCATGTATATGGATATCTCTTGCTATTAGTACAAACGTTTTTTTTAAGGCAAAAAACTATTAGTACAAACGTTGTTGACTCCTTGTCCAATTGTGTTGTTATCCTTGAAGAAAGTGCACTGCCGTGAACTTGCTTCATTTTAGTATTTTGTATGCTTGACAATCATATCTTCGGCCTTATTGCTTAACTGCTGAGTTGATGTATGCATCACTGAGTTATGTTGACTTGTATCCATGTCTTATTGTCTTGCTCAAACTTTTCTGAAATGTCTTTGGACTTTCGTTGTGTGCCGGATACGATTAAATGAAACAGAGTGAATGTGACAAGGTTGAGGTAGTGTAATAGTTATTGCACATGATTAGTTATCAATTATGAAATCTCGCATGCATGTGATCCTTCTGAAGCTCGAAGACCATGAAAGCTGTTAGTAGGGGAAAGGAAAAAAACTTTCATTGTGCAGGATTTTGTTACCGTCAATGGAACCTTATCGGAGTGAAGGTTGATGACCACCAGAGTACCTCCGGATTGACTCTTATAGCCTCGTAGAGCACCCAGAGCATAGTGAAAAATCATGTTTCGTTGTTTCTCACTGTGACTATCTATGCTTGGTTGAAAGATTCAGGCGTCGAGGCTTATCCATGCTTTGCTCTTTCTCGCTCCTGACGAAACATCATTGTTATCTGCTGTATCATCATCATCACACAATAAAAGAGTGAGTTTTTTTAGAGGGCTCTCTCTCTATAACAACCATTCGATCTAAACATCATACTACATGAGTCATCCGTCATCCATGATCTTACATGTAAGGTGTAAGATTTCTCGTAAACCATGATTCTTCCTGGACCCTTGAAAAAGAAAAATAATAAAAATACTCATCTTAAACCAAGATTCCTTCCATACCCTGAAAAATTAAAATAATAAAAAATCCGAACACAACACACGTGATTTTGTTTGTTACAACAACAAAAAAAAACAAAAAGATTTGGCGTCAAGATGTAAGACTCCTCTTAAACCATCTCAAATCACGTGATTTTGTTTGTTACGATAAAAATATTTTGTTTGATAGAAAAAGAAAATATTATTTTATATATGTTGATTTAGGTTCTATTTTCCTTCTGATCCGTCTTCTGTTTCTGTTTACACCAAAATTTAAAAGAAAAGTCGTAGGGACTCGAAAACTCCCAAGAACATGTCATCAAGGAATCAATTGTGTGCAGATCGGAACCAGTTGATTCGAATGCAACACTGGAATCGGCTTTCTTCAAGTAATGCCAGCAGATAACAACAAATGCTACGATCAGCGTTGGGACCAAACATGTTGGACTATACAAAAAAGGAAAGATTATAGTCTAAGTTATCTTAAATTAGAAATATTTTCTCTAAGGCCCAAGATTGTGATGAGTCGTGCTTAGATAGGAGTCATGCGTAGGTCCCAAGTATAAATATCAAACCTCGGCTATTGTAAAAGACACACAATCAATCAAATACAAGTTACTTACTTTTTTGGCTCCGGCCACCCCTTAGGAGTAGTGTAACGTCCAGTCCCGACATACATGGCCCCAGCCCACTCTTCCTAGGAGTGGTCCGACCCAGTAGTAACCATGAACTTTCGCTATCGCTTCCTTCGTTCAAAACAGTTAACAGAAGGTTACTACGCCACCCCACCCCTGGTATTTAAGTCGATCCAGCGAATTCAGGATTTCCAGTATGGTACTAAACCTGGTTGCACAGTATTTTCGCGATGCTACAGTAACCACCATGAACAGTGTTCCGAATTTGGCCTGGCCCAATTCGGATGAACAGTACCGCGCTACAGTAACCCGCTTTGGATGCTACAGTAGCCGGCCTTATTCTGCTACAGTAACACCGGCCCATACTGGATTTTTAATTGGGCCCACTTTAGCCCATTAGGATGTTACAAGTAGGAGTATAGTACATCTCGGCGAGTTCTTCAGCAAGTACGGCTGCATAGATCCGGTCGACCTCCACTGCTTGTCTGTAAGTACCGTCATGGCTTATACCTCTGTTCGTACGGCTGCATCGATCCGGTCGACCTCCACTACGACTCTGGTATAAGTTAGTTATCGATTCTTATCTAGTTCAAGTAAGGCTGCATCGATTCGATCGACCTCCACTGCTCGAACTAGATTAAGGTCAAGTTATCGCCTTTATCTAAGGGTGTCGTTCCTTCGGATAGATTCATTAAGTTACCGATATTGCTTATTGCTTCCATTATTTATTTAATTACAGCAATATAACTTCGTCCGATTGGGATTGATCTAGATCGGCCTTATATCTTGTTTGACCCATCGTTTGTTAATCCAAATTTGATCTAATCTGCACTTTAAATGATGAGTTATGTTTTATCGGCTGTTTTATATCAATCTTAATCGTGCATAGCGTGCGGTTAAGACGTGTCTGATCTTGAGTAGATGTATTGGTTAGCGAAAACCGTTCCATGGCCCGTTATCACGGCCTGTGTGATTCTGCCTCACACCCCACTGTTAGCATCGTAGAGTGGGGATCGTTATTTGGTAGATCTGTTACTGAGAGGGCATGATCTTAACTGTGCGCTATGCCTGAATCGACTATTTTAGCCGATATCGAGTGCTTTCATGAACAGTTCACGTCACGAGACCGTTGAAGTAGCGATAGATTAAAAGATGTGTTAGCCCCATGATCTTATTATTGTATTACGGCCTGCATGATTCTGCCTCATGCCCCACTGATATTAGTAATAAGTTAGGGTCGTCGAGTCTATTGTTGTTTCTATGGCCTGCATGATTCTGTCTCATGCCCCACGGGTTATAGCGATATATGAGATCTAATATGTTCATTAGATTTATCTCTATTAAATGGTTGAATGATGATGAACTGTTTCTTTTAGGTTACTCGCAGTCATTGGCTCAGTATAAACTAATTACTGTTGACATCTTATTGCCATTGACCGATATTTGTCTAAATAATATTCATGCTGAATGATAACTGATTCTTCTTACACAACCCCATGAGCTCTAACTGATTTATTCTTATGAATATGCTGGAATCGACTATTTAGTCGATCTCCTTTCATATCGGCTCTCAGAGCCGCACATTCGGGACTGTCTGGCAACACCGGCATGTTTCGCCCTAAATTACTGATAAAATTTCTCTCCTTGTCAATTGCAGGGTCAAATTAACTGGCACGTCTCGGGAGGAGTGCGCATGATCGACCATCCCTGCGCTGAAGCTAGGCGGATCTCCAACTCCATCGAGCGGACCCTTTCTGGCTTGCTCGTGTGCCCTCGGGACGGGACAAAATTTCCGTGTCGACACATGTTTCTAGCATGCCCGGTGGGACCCCACAATCATCATGGCGGTTCAAAACAACAACGATATCCTTATGGTACATTATGAAGATTTACCCGATGGAGATAAAGATGTCATCGATAAAGCTACAGAAGAATTTCAGAGCAAATGTTTGTTGTCCTACACCAAAACACGTGACAACACAATTGTTTAGAAATTTCCACTACCAAGAGTTCTATTACACGGGCAGACAGATACAGTTGAAGCTAAAGATAGACGTTTCTTTACGGAAGTTGTAGATAAATCTATTCGTGATGCCATATCAAGCCGTAATGAAGCTTTCTTGGACACATTCCACAACACCATGAAAGAGGACATCATTCAAAAAATAGCACCATCAATTCAAAGGATCCATAGAGATATAGATCCTCATGTCTACAATCAGAGACTTCAAGCAGCAAGCCAACAAAGGACCCAACAGATAGAGATTCCACAGGGTTA